GGGGACTCCCTGCCCTTCAGGCGGGGTGCTGGACTCGATGATCTTCCGAGGTCCCTTCCAGCCCTAATGTCTATGAAAGTCTATGAAAGTCTGTTCCTGGACTCAATCACTGGAATGGGCTCTCTAGCCATGTCTCCACCCCTCTCTGGGTGCCAGGCTCTCTCTAGCCTCATCTCCACCCCTCTCTAGGCACTGGTCTCTCTCTAGCCCCATCTCTATTCCTTCTTCTGCCCTGTTCCTGGGGTCTGGCCTTGCTCCCAGGCCTGCTGGGACCTCCAACCTCCCTCACTAGTCCCAGTCCTCAACCACTGGCATTCTCCAGGCAAGTCCACAATATTCTACTCACCTGCCCTGATCCCAGGCTCAAGTGTATCCCTGGTGTGAGTCAGCAACTTCTTTGCAGTTCTTCTGCTCAGGAACTCTTCCTTTCATGGCCTTCTGGGCCAGACTGCCTGCTCTAGCTCAGGCCCTGAGCTTATATACTGTCTAAGCCTGGCCCCTCCTTCTAGTCAGTTGCCTTCCTTGAATGCCACCTGAGCCCTGGCTGCAGCCTTCCTTCTCTTAGTCACAGGAGCACTAAGCTGTTACAGTATATAACCAGCCACTTGTGAAAAGTGCAGACCAGAGGACAAAGCAAAATCATGGCCACACGATCTGTACATGAAGTGCCCCCAACTTTCAGTGCCTCAAAATGTGGAGTGGGAGCCATGAGCTCTGAAGCCATGTGCTTGGATAAGGGGGAGGGGCTTTACTTCTCCATCTGAACCACAATTCTGGCAAAAAGAGCTCAGTTTGTCTGACTTTAGGCAGCTGCAGTAGATTTCAACCCATATAAATAATTTCAGAGTAGAAAACTCACATCAATTTAAGTTGAGTTAATGTCTAAATAATCTGCTTTAACACGTAAAAATGTTATCTAACAGATAACCGAGTAGGGTGGAGACAGCATTAGAAAAATCAATGCAAGCATGTTGCAACTTGAAGATAGTGAGAAAATGCAGGCTCCTTGTGCTGACCAAGCAAAGATTTGTATGTGTGATGCATTACAATTTAATCAGGCTTTTACATTTTCAGACTATTAAAAGGTAACTCACACTAAGAAGAACGTAGAGATCAGCACTTTGTACAATACCTTGCAAATGTAGTAAGGAAGACCTTTGAGGTGTCCAGAGACCACCTGTACAGTGTTATAATTACTTCAAAAATAAAACACTTTGGATGTCTACAGATCAATGTTTAGTAGTATTTATTTAAGTAATGAATAATGGTTTGCTATAGCTTTCCTTGAGTAAAAGCCTATAAAACTCACATCAATATCACTATAAGTGTATACTACTTTGACCTGTGTTGTTAAGATTAGTTTCTAATGGTTGGATAATTGCATGAGTAGGTCTATTCATGGTGAACTCACTTGCTTTAACGTGGATTTTATCATGGTCTTAATGGCAGGAAAAATCCTTCAGATCTATGAAGAGCTATATAAATTCTCTTGCACGATTGTGTCATTTGTTGTTAATAAAATGTATTTTCACCACCTTCAGGGAGAAGCTTTGAATCAGTATTTTAATGAGACATACCTCTACTTTGCATGGAGACCACTCCCCAAGAATCCAACTGTAGCATGGTTTTACAGGGCAATTTCTGTACTGGGTAAGCTGCGTAGGACATGGCCTTCCTTCTCCTTGTGCCTGCATAATTATGGATCGAGTGCGTGTCATTTGGCCTAAAGAAACAGAGAAGGTACTCGTTCATAATACACTGCATTAGAAACAAAGACTTTGCCATAAGAGACGAGGATATAAACAGTGCAGTAATGCTCAAGTGGTAAGTGATAGCGGTAAGTAACCAGACAGCAATCCCTGGCAGTGGGGATACTTTGAAATAACATATTAAAATGAGAAACAAGGCACCCTGACCGATCCACATCTCTCACACCACACATGGCTATCTTCATGCAACTCTGGAGGGTTGTGTGTGCTTGACTCCTAATCCACTCCCTACGGTGAGGGTGGGAAGCCTTTTTCCAGCTGGGGAGAGACAGGGCGCCAAAGTCACTACACAATGATACGGCATCTATAGCTGAAAATGCAGTACATCAACAATGTAGTCAATGCAACATGTCACTGTCATTGCAACATGGGGATGAACATGTTATAAGAGATCAGCCTGCAATTACTTTGTGGCTGTCAATCAGATGACAAAGCAACCTGTCGGTTTGAATTGCCCTTTTTTTCACCTCTGTCCCCCCGCTTGCCTAAGTGTTTGCTCCTTCTTTCTCTGTCTTGTTTTCTGCCACTCTCTCTTTGCCCCAAATCTTTCTCCTCCATATCCCCATCCTCCTTCCATCTCTCTTCTCACCTAGCACCCCTCATTGTTCTGTCTCTGCTCTGTTTTCCTCATTCCCAGTCTTCCTTCTCAATCCTAGTCATTTCCTCTTCCTACATTCTCCAGTCCCTAGAGTTGTTCTCTGTTTCCTACCTCTGAAGAGCAGAAATATAAGTTCTGACCCTGTGTAAGGCTCACTAGTTCATCCTCATGTTTCTTAATAAAAAGTTGTATTTTTGATAATGTAAGTACGGCTACAGACATCATTTGCTTCCTCCTGTGTGGTATGTTTTTAGCTATTGATCCTGATCCATACAGAAATCTTTTATGGACAAAACCTGATCATCTACTCTGTGTGAATTACTAACAGCTTATGAAATGAAGTTGAAAGTATTCTGATTTTACTTTAATGAAAGCCACATATGAATTCCATCTCTTTTTATGAGGGTTTAATGGAACTGCTGATAAACTAACCCGCAGTGCTGCTATGAAGTGCTTCTATATTAAATTAATCAATAAAGATAAGGTATAGTATGTAATTAATTATTATTTATATAAGCTTATCATCATTATTAGCTCATTTTTCCACCAATAAAAAGCCTTTTAAAATAATTTCCCTGCAAAATACTTGGAAAACATGCTTTATTAAATAGACCTGAGACATACTTAGTAAGTCTTCAATGCTGTGCTTTGGCCAACGATACTTTTCAATATAATTTTTGTAATTTTCCAAACATATTCCTTGTACATGTAAAACATTTAATTTTTAAAACATTGAACAAAATCTAGACTCATTAGTAAATATGATAAGAAAATTGACTGCTATGGCCACACAATTTTTAATATTAAATATCCACTGTATTCTTTATAAATGATAAAGAATTTTTTTTTAAATAATCCAATGATATGCATATTGCCTGAAAATTGCAAGCACACTAATGGCTATTATGGTCTAGAATCGTTTCTATAATTCCCTTTAAAATCCTACTTGTTTTCAGTAACCCTCACTCCAGCCCACTGAAAGGAAAAAGAAATTAGGTTTCCACTTGTGAACTGAATACGATTCATTAGCATTTCAGAAATCTGATTTCTTCTTCCTTTACTCTCTATACCAAGTAAAAGATTCAGAGAAAAAATGTTCTTGCCCAAAATGTTCCTATTAGAGTCCTTGTTACAATTAAAAAAGGGAGAAAGGCCTCATGCAGAGGGATGCATAAGATTACCAAATGGAGAGTTTTGCCTTAGATTTGAATGGGACTGAATTTGAGAGGCAGGAAAAATGACTCCTGTTAGCTGATGGATTATACATACTTGCCACAGATATATACAAGAGACATCAAATTACTAATTTGTGGCAAGACAAGGAGACAGCCTGTTATGGTAAAGGACTCCCATTAGGATTGCAGTCATACAGATATGATCTAGAGTAGGGATGGGCCAGTCCAAATGCTGGAAGCAAACACACTTGAAATGTGTGGCAGCTGGGATATACAGCTTCTTAGCTGTACTTATTTATAATAAAGAGTAGTTGCTTTTCTGCTGTTTAGGTTATAGCCATGCTTGAAAGTAAAAAAAGAAGTCATCCCTTTGCTACAAACTGATACAATAAATATCTACAAATTGTGATTTCCAAAATGCTTTTTATTTTTCTAGCCAAAAAAGCAAGTTCATCTGAAAAAGCTAAGACCAGAAAACCTTGCAAAATCTTTACAGTTACAATGCCATTCTCCCAGAATGAACCTTGTATTCCACTTAAAACTCATTTTAAGATCATTTTTTAAATCAAGTTGCTGAAGAAGTTCTAAACCACCATGGAATCAGATAATATTCAGCGATGAAAAACACTGCATCAGTAAAAGGGAAAAAAGCCTCAAATACTTGTGGTATTAGGCTCCATGGCCTAGAAGGAAGAGAACATCCTTATTTTGTCTTCTACTCGCTACTTGTGTTGCCTTTCACCTGTACTAAGCATCATTCCTTCTAATCCCAGGGACACTTCAGCACTGCAGGTATCTGCTCCTCCTTCCCTCCTTTCTTACAGAGCATTTGCATCTAAAGAAGCAAAATTTGGGAGTCTGGAAGCCAACTCCACAGACTCTTGGATGACAGAAAAGCAAGGTTTCTGTGGATGGGGACAATGCAAATGCAGACTGTCTGGGGCTCCTGGCTAGAGCTACTGGCCACATCTCTTTGCATAATTATTACTATCAGTATACTTCATCTGTTCTTTCTAACGTAAAATGCTTTAGGATACAGACTTGTCACAAATTTTCTTGGAATTCTGCCTAAATTGTCCTTGAAATACACAACGTAATTATTCTATGCTAACTTAGCACTAGCGAGGCCTCAAGCTGGAACACTATGACCACTTTTGGGTAGTGTACTTTAAGAAAGATGTAAGCAACCTGGAGCTACCAGAGGATAGCAACGGGAATGGTAAGCAATTTGGAAACCATGACATTTGAAGAAAGGTTGAAGGTATTGTTGATCGTCTCTAAAAAAGAGAAAACTGAAAAGTGGTATAATAATAGTGTTTCTAATATTGAAGAAATTGTTAAAAACAGGATATTGAACATTTATCCTCTTTGTCCACTAGGGGTCTGACCAAAACTGGGGTAATCTGTAGGAGGGAAGATTTAGGATTAGCATTAAGAGAAACCTCGTAAGGATAGTTAAACGCTGGAACAGGCTCCCTTGCAATGCTAGGAAATCCCCTGGTGGAGGTTCTGGAGAACAGGTTATAGAAAACATGTTAGACAAACTGACTAGATGACCTCCTAAGGTCCCTTCATTACTGTGAGCTTTATAATAAATTCAAGTGGCTAATAAATGGAGATATTTGAAGACATTTTATTTGATTAAAAAGGCATAAAACTCTTAAAAGCACTTATGCATCTATGGAAATAAATGAAATAGTGTGCTTTTTTCTACGTTGTGATTGGGATACTTTTGGAAACATTTAACTAGGAAGATGTGAACAGGAACTGAACTGTTATTTTTTAAGATTTCCTATCGTTGAGCTATTACGTGACTGGAAATATTTTCTGGATGCTTGTTGACCCAAGCCATTTTGCTCACTGGTGAGGGGGGTATACAGTGATCCACCTGTTTGACTAATCCTTGCTATTTCCTTTCTCTCTATCCGCAGTTTTAAAAAGAATATACCGAAAAGTGCATTGCAATCTGGGATTATGGACTGAAGTGGATCCCCGACGGCTTTGATTCTTTTCTTCTCCCTCTAAATTCTAGCTGGCTGCTCAGTAGGAACTCAAGTTGTGGAAACACTCAGAAAAGTATTTACTTTGTAATTATCTCATTGACTGAGACTATAATCTCTGCATGTATGAAATGAACTTTCTCTCTATACAACAGTGGCAGTGTAAAAGCTCTGTTGGTTCTTCCATTTCTCAGTGAACAAAATGAATTTCTCTTTCATCGGCTATGCACTATTAAATGACCTGAAAATGCATAAAGTATGCTGGAAACTGAAAGTGTCTCTTCATATCACCAAATCTGTCAGAAGTTCAGGAAAAGAAGATTGCTGGTTTGTTATTGCTGGATACTTAAAATTATCTTTTGGAACAATGACTATATTGTCATCGCACAAGTGCACTTTTATAATAAGACTTTTCTGCTTTGCCTAGAAAGAAATATTACGTGGTCAAAAATGATGTGTAAAATAATGACAAAAGTTAATTCTAGATGACACTGCCAAATGTAGCAGTGTATGTGGCATGTCTAGATGTCAATGCTACATACACAGCAGCACCACATCAAATGTCTTATGTGTTGTTTCCCAGCATAAAATCTGAGAAGAACAGTGTACTCCTACTGTCTATTAAATAAATGCCAAAAATGTTGATACCTGTCTAATGAAAACTTGTTTTGTATTCTCTATTAAGTGAATACAGAAGAGAAGAATGATGAAAAGTTAAAATTAGGTCACTTTATATGTGCCTGAACTATGATTGTGAGGGCCAGCCTAGATAACAAGAGAAAAGATGAAGAACAAACCCATGCAGAAACTGCATGGTCTATCTCTCAGTCAGCCACTGCAGTTTAAATGTGCTTTGATTAAACAAAGCGCAAGTTTCATACCTCAGAGAAGACTGGTTTTAGGGGGATTTTGGTTTTTGATTTGTTTTCATTCAGTCTGCACAGCGCAACATACTGGGATTTGTGTAATTTCCTAACTGAGGGAGAAAGAACTACAACCATTAAAAAGGTTAAAACTCTGGAGGCAAAGTTGCAAATAGCTTATCAACCAGATAAGGAAGGTGAATATTGTTATGACAATTCTCCTTCATACCCATATAATACTGGCTTTTCAGATATGAACATACATGTGTAAAATTACACTTCTGTTCCATGGCCTATGATCAAGTTTTGGGCCCCTTG